CTGGATTTCAACACGCGGGAGCAAGGGAGGGAGGGCGTTGCTTTGAGCTCTCCAAAATGACGGGTTACCCTCCCGCTTGTGGCGTCCCAGCTCTGGATAAATACCTGGCTGCTTCGCTGTTATCCCTTCAGTTCCTCACCGACAACCTGAACCCATTCAGTGGGTCAATAACTTCTAGCTTCCGTCTTACTGACCTCCGTTGTAGAACCAACACTCAATATGCAATTCACCACCCTCAGGCTCTTCACTTTCATCCTGCTCGCTGCAGCAACTAACGCCGCCATCACGCTCAAGTGGCACGACGGCGCAGACTGCACGGGCACGCTCAAGGCCACGAGCCCCGGCGCCAAGGCGGGCGAGTGCATCTCCCTCACCAAGGGTGGCAGCGCGCGGAGCATCTCGTGGGACGGCAACACCAACGGGGTCGAGCTCGAGTTCTTCGAGTCTGGCGGCAAGCACGACCACTGCACCAACGGCTTCCAGGCCAGCAGCAAGAAGAAGTCAGGCTGCTCCAACGCGCCTGCTGGGTGAGTGCTTCGGCTCTCTGTGACGACGCAGCAATTGACGGTGTTTGCTAGCTTCAACTGGGAGAGTGTCCGCCTCGTTTAAAGAATTCGATGCTCGAGATCTACGAAGTGTATTAGTAGTAGTTCCGAAATCAGTGAAGACGGATAGTCGTTGATTATGCGCAAGTGCACAGACTGATGTCCTATAACTAACTGCAAGGCTGAGGAAGGGAAAAGAGAACGGTTGTATATTGGCACGGTAATTGGTCGGCGATGACAATGTACAGGCATCGTGAAATATCTGGTATGGGAAAGCCATGGTAGGGAAGCGGGACGTAATGAGTCGTGAAGCGACCGGCTGGCCCCCTCCCTCTCAACCATTCCCGAGCATAAGTCATCTCTAAGGCCCGCTCGCAATCAAGCCAAAGAGTGACTCCCATTCCACATAGCAGCAACATCGGGGAGACCGTGATACAGACCCTCCAACTGCACGACATTCGCCGACGAGCCAGACATATCAGGTGAGTCTGCGCCTCCTTGCTGTTTCAAGTGCGACTGATCCAGTGACCAGACGGGGGCGACTCGGAGAAGCCCGCCAGCCGCAATCCAGCACAGAGAATCCGCATGCCAATTGGTCCGTGAACGAGAACTTCAAGTTGTCAACACTTTTCTCAGGCTCTCGTTCCGGTTACACAGACTACATGTCTTTCTCAGCATCCTCCAATTGCGTCAAGCACGTTGATTGTGCGTGCGTACCTGAGGCTACCTCATGTTGCTGGCCAATTGCTAGCGCTTACCGTTGCCCAATCCAAAGTAGCCTCCGAGTCGGAGTGAATAAACTGGAGTTTCAATCGATCTGTAACTCATCGAAACACGGGCCGACTGTCATTCAGCCCGAGATGAAGAGGGCATGCTTCGCACACTACACATGAGGAGAAAGGTACTTGAACCTGGTGTTGCACACGTCTCCTCAAATCGACGCTACCTGCAAACTTGAATGGCCCTCAATATATCGCTACAGGAGTATGCACGCTACCAAATATCATGGCTGCGATGGGAACGTAAGGACGCATACTCGCGAACCGTTCTTCTTGACCTCTGACCACCGCCGGCGCAGCCCTGGATCGTGAAATAATCAGAAGAAAGATGGACTACACCATCGATTTTTTCCGCGAATGCATACCCGACAACCGACGCTGGGCGGAGGTAGAAAGGTGTGTGTGCCTACATATTCCTAGTCGCTGAGCGGCCCTAATTTATGCTAGACAAGGCCTCTACGACGTAGAAAATGTCATCCGACTCTGCGTAGACAGATGCAATGCAAACGGTTGGCTTGCCGGCGAAGATGTCATCGGAGAGCTGTTTGAGCAAGAGCTGATACACCTGGGGCTCGGCGTGCAGAATCCAGCCGACAGAGAAGATGACATGGGCAAGAACACTGAGGGCAATGAAGGTAGCCAAACCGAGGGCAGCAGTGGCGGCGAGGACGAGAATAAGTTCAAGGGCGAGAGCAAGACCGACGGTGAAAGCGAGAGCGAGAGCCTTACGGGAGGTTTTGCAGAGTATATATCGAGGGAAGATGCGCATTAAAAACCAGATACTAAGTAGTTCACTCCCGAATACTTCGTGAAGTAATTGATGTCAAAGCGCTTGCGTGTCATGTAAGAAGCTGTCCTCGATAGCAACGAGACTTGAAGCAGAAGATAATTGAAGGCCAGTATAATCTTCGACGTTGCCCATTGAGTTGTTGGTTGAGGCTGAAAAGCCAAAGCGAGTAACAAGTGTGACCTCCTTCCTCTTGACTTCCATATGCCATCTCGCACACACGGCCACACACGAGCGGGAGCGTATACAACGGCAGATGAGAGGGCTTAAAGACGGATATGTGGCACGGTCACGGTCATGGTGCGCGCATACGTTCTCGGAGAGTGCTTCTCAAATTGACGATCCTCAATTGCTAGTTTCGTTGCCTGCTGCAATGAAATACTTGGCCATACTTCGTCTCGTTGACCGTCTGCCGCGATATTCAAACGAGCTGGAGGAGCTGGTGCTGTGGGTGGCCATGGGGTTATGCACGAAGGTCGGCTGAATCGAAAAACCTGCCAACGGAGGCTGGTACAGCTGCTCTTCTCCATCGCTCAACCCAACTATTTCGTTTCAAATGAAACCATCTCGTCTCAAATGAAGACAGAACTGGAGTCGCTCGTGGCGATTTCATGAGCAATTCCGCACCAGCCCACAAGCACACTCATTTTGCTGGCGCCGACGCCTTCTGAACACCCTGTATCCTTCCGCCCGACAGCCTTCTAATCCCCAAACGCCTTCGGCCCGTCCAACAGCACCATATTCCGCACTCGAACGCCGGGACTCGTATTCTGCGAAAGCTCTCAACGCCGATTTACTGAACGTACCCCAGCCCAGCAAAGCATGCCCATAACCCTCATCTCACATTGTCCTGACGCCTTCCCTTCCCCATTACCAACTTCCGACTTCGATTTTCTGCCCACGACCGCTTTTTTCCCTTGCTTTCCCGGCCATGTCACGTCTCGGTCACCATCACGCTTTCGTCCTCGATTTGGCCGACTCATAACTCCGGCCACACACTAGTTGGGGCCTAATCGACCAGGCCTCCGTCTGCGCGGACCTCTCGCGCCTCTAGCCAATTCTTTCTGCCCGTGGTTTTGCCCGGGAAGGTCGTCGCTCGACACGATCTCGCGAATGATTCTTTCACCCCCACACTCGCCTTTTGTGCCTCAGTAATCGTCATACGCGGCGGCGGAGCTTGATCTTGAGCAAGGATATAACCCACTCGTCATATTCCTGCCGTTTATGGAGCCAGAAACGGCGGGAGAATAATGGGTGAAGGCTATCTGGGTCCTCCGTATTGGCCATCCTCCCCGAGCGAGTTTATCGCTTTCTCAAGGCCTCGACCGTGGCAATGGCGGTATGTGGCTCTTATCCAGCATGTGCGTAGCCCACACTGGCATCGTATAATGACAGAGTCCATTTGTCGTTATCAGCGGGTGGGCAGGCGCGACTTTGGGAAAGATGGGCCCAGTCGATGGGTTTTTGCGCTGGCTGGTGTGTCTTGTTCTTCCTACTCTATGCTGCGCTGACATACTTTTCGCTTAGAATGCCTGTGTGTGTGCATGATATGATAGCGCTTTTTTGTGCTTTTTAGAGCGTCAATATATGATAGTCTACACGACTTTGAAAGTTCGACCTCTGAGAACACGGGGATCATTTCTACACCATCCGACAAGATCGAGTTGATTCAAGCTAATGCGACACTCGCTTGAAATCTGGTTGCTACTTCGACATTTCCATTGAATGACAAGACTAACAGCGGGTCCACGAGGGCTGACGGCTGCGAAACGACTTGGTATATGACTTCATATCGACTGGGAGGCGCTACAGTAATCGACACGCCGATTGGGCTAATTCCGATCAAGTGGGAGGCAGCTGAGCGTGCTTCGCGCATGGTGTCCCCAAACACAGACACGCTGTCTCTTCCCCGTGGATAGACAACACTTAAGTTTACGCTCTACTGCTTTCCAGTAACTGCCAGTCCCAGAAGATGGACGTCGTGAAAGTAGTCCTACGCGCCTTGGGCATCGAGCTACAGGACAATAGTAAGCAACCCTCCCATATTCTCCTGATATTGCTGAAGACTGCTGTAGTCGACCGCGAAGCGGTGGCGAAACGCATGGAGAACTTGATTGACGACTTCCTCCTCCGAGTGCCCCCCGGAGACGAGCGGCGGAAGGAGGCGAAGCGGTGCGTGCCGCCGATTTGGATTTGGGGCACGCGAAAGACTGAACTCACGGTAGTCAAGGCCTCCTGAGCATGAACCACGTTATCAACACCGGAGTTGCATATTGCCACGAACAGGGCATCCGTGTCAGCGTGGACGGCATCATGGAGGCATACATCAACAATCTGGGCGACGTCGAGACGCCCAACCCTCATCTCACCGATCGCAGGAGCTTGGACTCGGATTTCTTGGACAGCGACCCAAACGACTTGGAGTACAAAGTCGATAACCGGTATTGCTTCCACAGCGAGGACGAAGAAGGCAATAACAGCGCCAGTGATGGCGAGGACACTGAGCTTGAGAATGAGAGCAAAAGCAAAGACAAGAAGAATATTAATCACCCGAGTCGGGGTAGAAGCAGCTTGAAGGGCAAAAAAAAGGATGCCATTGGGAATGAGGGAAACTAGACAAAGCAACAGATTCGTCTCTGCCCATAACTGCCAACCGTCCGCACGAGCACTAGCTCTTATGCACAAAGTCAAGTGAAGTTGGCTAAAGAGCTTGTTCAGTAACGACCATAGCAAACAGCAGAAGCGCGCACAATTATAACCAGTACTCGTTAAGTCTAAGCTCTACCGAGTGGTCTGCTTGCAAATGTGAGCAAAGAAGTAGCAACGCAGTCTCAGATGCGCGAGACTTGTGGTCGTGAAAATGTGAAGGGAATCTGAGCTTGTCGCCAATCATAGCTGAGAAAAACACGAGTAAGCCCATCGTCAAGCTGGCGATGAGAAACAAAAAGACTCACCGTGGATACAAAATACTCGCCTGTAAACCAGATACGCCAATGACTGCGAAGAGCAATTGGCACAACGGTCTGCGACTGTCCAGCCCATTGAAGAAGATACTGTCGCCTTTCCCGAGACGTCTCGTTGACAAACGCGCACCGCGCCTGCTCGCTGACCATTTTCTGGCGACAGACACCGATTTCCAGCCCCAAACGACCCCAGATGAGCGACGCAAGACCAGAATCTTGATAGCTATGCCGTATAGTGGAGGAGGAGATGCTCGGCATGACAAGAGGCATATTATCGAGGCCGTGTCGCTGTAAGGAAAGCGATGTTCTTGATTCCAGCACAAGTGGCGACATCGTAGAAAACAGTGTCGACAAGGGCGTTCCCGTTTAAAATGGGGTCCCAAAAGAATTGGGGGGAATTTGGAGGCCTGTAAAGTGCCACGAGATACGGTCCATAGAGCCGTATGTAGTGCAGAAACGGACGGGCAAAGTCGTTTCGCAGGTGTGATTTGACGAGGGTGACTTTTGGGAAGAAGGCGATGACGAGCGCCGCTGGTGTGAGCGCTAGCTATGGGTATTTCATTTTGTATGTTGCTGTTGTTGATATAGATGGGGTAAGATGTCGCGTTCGTGGAAGAATTATGGCGGTGTCGGCGCCACAGAAGAATGCTCCAGCAATGGTGTCGCTTGAGGGTCTTGCGGTCTGTACTGCCTCCTTGCTGGCCAAGGAAGTAGATTAGTGCTATTCCTTGCCGTCAAGACCGCAAGACCAACCTAGCACCAACGGCTTCATCCTCGTCGTCCTTTACCGCTTGCGCCGCGACACGCGGGTCGACCTGCAAAAGAACCCTTAACGGACAAAGTGAAAGCTATAGCAAAGCCACGCAGCAGATCCACAGGGAGACATGGTGCACGTCTTCCGGTATTGCAGCTTAGCCTATTGTACTGGTAGGTACACAGATGCGAGAACGGGGACAATGTGGGGAGGTAAGGCGTAAATCGAATGGATAGATGAAAGCCTGCAGCGCAGACGATTGAGAATACCGTACTTTGGCAACAAATTCGTGAATAGGTGATTTCGCACCTCTTTCAGCTGCGGAAAGAGTAAACATTCCTGGAAATCAATGAGCGACACAGACAATGCCGACAAACAACTAACTCTATAGCCAAATTCGCGTGCATGGCTCTCCTGTTCTCCCTATCCAGCCTTTCGATACGATGTCATATCTATGGTCGACAAATGGGGGCAAAACAGTCAAGTCAGAGGGACTCTGATGTTGAATAGAGCGGTACACACCTCTCTCTTATCCACAGAGCTACATGATATACCGCCGCTGGCCCTCCCCGTTCGACAAACAACAGACATGCCGTCCAGATAGACGCCGCCATAAACGCTCGAAACGGCGGCCTTCTGCATGGAATGGCGGGGTAGAGAGAATGGAGTAGTCGTAGGCTGGTACGGGGAAGGAAGAGATATAGTCGATAGGGCTGTAGAGCTTGCGTACGTCGCAATACTTCGACATCTTTCGCGGGGAAGTCTCTCACGTGACTTCCATTTTAGGACGCGGCCATGTGGATAGGCGGGAAGGGAGGGAACTAGACGCGGGAGATGGTATGCGTGGTAGCTTAACGTCGTCCCCGAGGTTTTGATAGTCCCTTTGAGGGCGTACAAGCTGTCGGCAAATATAGGCACCAGATCGAGCAGAAGAGTGGCAGTCGCTGGTCTGGTTATGATTGTCGTCTTGTCCGGTGCTCCTTTGGTACCAGGAAACGCGGTGGGTGGCAAGAAATGTGCTGCTTTCGGACATGATAGACTCCGGGGTCGACTGGACAGCAATGTCGCGTTGGGGAGAACAAACCACAAGTACGTGGTGGTCGCATTGTCGGAGATGACGGTGCCTGGATGCGGGAGGAGCGTTGCCCGGGGACTGTGTTGTAAGGACGGAGTAAGAAGAGGTGGTGGAAGGTTTTGGAGTCGTCGAAAACGAAGGCGGCGGCGACTGGATAGCAGCATCAAGCGATAAGTTATAGGCAGGCGGGAGCAGTTATATGACTCACCGGGAAGTGGATGACGCGGATAGAACGCCAGAACTCACCCAAACAGCCTGCCCCTTGAAAGCGTCTACGATGTTGTCGACAACTTGTCGTTGGTGTCAATTAGTGTGCATCTGTAGCGCCGGCAGCAAGTAGCCGTGGGGAAGACGCGTGCCGCGGATGTGCAATGAGTATTCGAGAGCCATATCAAGGCGGGTGGCGGGGAGCCCGCTGTTTTCAGAGCTGCATGAAATGTACTTAGAATCCAAAACGTGTGAAGGCGGAGCTTGGATTCACTCACCTGGAGCCAGATATTCCTTTCTCTGAGCCACCCCTCGACGCTTCAGCCCCGATTTCCCTCGTTTTCCCCGCCGTCATCGTCGTCTCTAAAGGGAGGTGCGGCGATTCAGCGCCCAAGTCAACAAGCAGAAAGAGAGGCAGGTACCCAGGCTCCTAGCACCTCATTGTACTTGTGGTGTCAGGTTGAGAAGTGTCGCCGCTTGCGCGGAAGATTGAGTTGAAGACATCCCGCTGGTGGTGGAGGAGAGGAAGAATATCGGCGTCGGCGTACTCACGTGGCATCATCGGGCCGATCGTCCTTACTTCTCCCCCACGACGACCCATGCCGCGAGGGACTCTCCCATCACCGCTATCGCTCGGCGAGGCGGGCCACTAGCTGCCTCAAGTCCACAAGGCTCTACAACCCGACGCGAAGGTGCGCCTTCCAGAACCTTCGCACTTGTGTCGCGGCTGACCGCACTACTCCAGCCCGCTCCCGCCTCTTCCTTAAAAGGCTGCCGTCCACGGGATGGCTTGAGATTAAGAGAACATGGGACTCGGGTTGTGTTTGGTGCGTGAATTCGCACCACCCTTTGCCTTCACGTTCTTATTTGGTGCTACTCAGCAGTTTTCCAACCCAGTCGCCTTCGAGCTTGGAGACAAGTGCGACGCGTTCTTGGTGTGAGGCGGCGCGGTCTGAGGCTATGGTGTGTGAAGGCTGTTCGGGGCGCAGAAGGAATCGTCGTGCGGTTTCTTGGCGGTTTCTTCGTTTCTTGTCTTCGAGTGCAGTCCTGACCATGTATCGACAGGTTTCCGATCGAAAGGAAACAAATGCCGTTTAGGCTCCTCCTGCGGGAAGCGCAGCTCGTTTGGAGGGATTCAAATGGAAGAGTGGAATTCGAGCTCGAATGGTGCGTGAAATTCGTTCTCTTGTCGTTGCCGACCGACCGCTAAATCTGTCTTTCAGCCAACTCTCCAATGTCCATGCACATTCTCCTCCTCGTACTCCCATAACACCAAGCTCCGGCCCCTGATACATCCCTGCCACCATCGGGGCCTCGAAAAGCTCTGCATTGCCCCCCACATCTCGCATACACCAACGACATGTCAGCACTGGGCACTGAAATCTTCACTAAATATACGCGCCTTTCTCAGCGCGAGGCGGGACTTCTCGCGACTACAGTATCCACTCTGCACGTACTTGGCCTGCAAACCCCGCAAGGCACGATTGGAGGGAAGGACGACGCATAGCTGGGGGAGTAAGCATGGGTGGACAAGAATGCGATTCTGTCGATGGTACGTCTTTTAGTGCTTCGTTCCCGCCTCTGCTCAGCCGCAGCAACTTCAGACAAATATCAAGAGTGCAATGTCCCGCAAGACACTTGCCCCCATACACACTATTTACAAGCTTGCAAAACAAGCCTGCTTTCATACTCTAATCCCTCGCCACCTGCGGTTTTGCTGCCTGGTAGAACGCCGACCTCATCGCTTGTTGAAGTAGCATATTTTCCACCATCCGCACTGCCCAGTTCCACTGAAACGCACTTCTAGTACTGTGCTGTACTCTCCGACGACTCCAATGCTATCGACGTGTCTTCTCATTCTCTTCTGTGGGCACACGGTAGAATTTGCGTTGGGCAAGCTTCAGCTTGCGCATCCATTATATCTCTTCCCTCCTTCCCCCACTACTACATACAGCAACCCCACACTACTGCAAAACCGCCACACCGTCTTCATTTACCTATTCCTTCTCCACTCAGCGCACTCTCTTGTATGCATTGATTCAATCAATCTCTGGTTCCTAGAATTTTTACTATCTTTAGTCTTCGACGCCTCATCGATGGTGACGCTAGTCACACACACTCTCTCTCTCATGTCCGACAACGACGATTCAGACCATGAATTCACAGTGGAGCAGTACTACGCTGAAGCTTCACGTGCACTAGCTTCTCTTGGGCTTCGCGAGCGCCGCCAACCAGAGAATCCGCTGGACTCCATGACCATTGCCCGACTCCGACAAGAGGCAGAACAGATCAAGAAAACGATCGATTCCCTGAAGTACCGGCTGGATGTCATCGAAGAGCAGCTTAAAACTGTGGTTTACCCTGTGGACACGCTCCCTCCGGAGATTCTGTGCAAGATCTTTGCTGCAGTCGTGTCGTCGGCGCCACGAACTGTCGATGTTGCCCTGTTGCGGATCACTGCGGTCTCTCAGCGGTGGCGCGCTGTGGCTATCGCGGACCCCCATTTGTGGACAAGGACCTGCTATTTCATTCGATATAGCAAAAACTGCGATACTCTTCATCAGCATTTTCTCCAGCGCGCACAAGGCTTACCAATCACGCTCTCAACTACCGGGTTTGACTTGGTTCCCGATCGTCTTCCCCGCGGCGTCTTTGACTCTGCTTCACAGTGGATTGAAGCACATCTACAGGCCGGGTTTAATGCCTTCGACCTATACGAAGCCACATTCCGTAGGGCTACCTCGCTACCAGTATTCGTGCCCTTTGATTTCGACTTCCCTCAATTGACAAAACTTACACTTGACATTCCAAATATCGATAGGTTTAACAACAGTCGCAGTCAACGGAACGTTTTTCAAAGTGCTGTTCATCTCCGCGAATTGGCTGTCTCAAACATTCTATCGATCTCGCAGTTCGCAATCCCCACACAACGGCTGCGCAAGCTGACCGTTAATGGTCCCGCACAATACCTGGACGTCATTTTGATCCTTCCAGAACTGTTAATGCTGGAAGAACTCTCTCTACTTACCCTTGTGCGCAATCCCGAGTCGGACGCCGAGATTATTGGGGAACCCGAGTCGACCATTACCATGCCGTACTTGTCGACCTTGTTGTTGCTGGAAGAAAACAGTGCTTGTGTTCTACCACACCTGACGCTGCCAGCCCTGAAGACTCTTCATCTATCGTATTTCACTTTTAAGGATGTGAAGTCGTATATCCACCCCTGCCTCACTCGTTCCAACGCCAATATTCTATCTCTGTTCATCGTATCGACCTGGAGCTACAAGGTCATTCAATCCCTTGTGTTTTCTCGCAATTCCCCAGTGTTCCACTCAACCCAAGAGTTTGTCCTCCGTCTCTTTGACATGGACGCCGAAAGCGGCAAACTCCTCGCAGCCGACTTTGCCCAACTTGCATTCCTACCTAATCTCGAGTCGTTGACACTTGTGGTACCCCAGCCAAGGGAAGGGAAATCAACCTCAATAAAAGCATCCTCTCTGACGATTGAGATCGGTCCATTCGTGGACGGCCTTGCCATGCGTGTCGCCAACGCGCTGTCTGCAGGAGTGCGACACACAATGAAGCTGAGCCGATTCGTTGTTGACTGTGCATCGTCGGCGATCTCCGACAAGGACCTAGGCGACTTGAAGCACCTGCAGGACCAATTGCAAGTCCCAGTCTTGATGCCAAACGGACATCCTTCGAGGAACACATGGGAACGTAGGGAGCTCCGGGGCAAGGGTATCGATTGATGATTTGCTATGATTTTGACTATTTTCGATCGTTTACAACGTGTAGATCTAGTTGGTAGTGAATTGTTGTTCCCCAAAAGCAGCGAAATAGCAGAGACAAACAGAACCACGCACCGAAGTCCCGCAGCTGCATTAGCCTAGCCAACATCATCTTCTCTTAGTATTCTCCCCGTAAGCTCCTTTGCACATCCGTCCGTGGTCTTGTCCGAGATGAGCTCGTCATACCGCTTGCATGGCCGGAGTGATACTCGTTTGCAGGTGTCCAGAGCCTATGCCGCTCGACAAGGTCCTAGATGGTCTGCGGCAATTAGATTCAGTCAAAAGCAGGAAGAGTCAGCGCAGACTTACTTAAGTACCTGGGATGTAGCCCTTCGACCCGTTCGTTACTTCACTCCCGTTTGTCGCTGTATCCAAGGCGGGTCAGCATACTTCGTTGCGGGTGGAGGTATTCAAGCGAAAGCGACCGCGAGTTTCTGCAGATGCGCATTCGCATTTCAACGGGCTTCCGCCGCAAACAGAAAGGGCAACGGTGACCATTGCGGGGAGAAGAGGGTTGGCAAACGGACCTTCAGCCAGCATAATGACCTCTATCTAGTCAGCTCCAGTCTCCCCGTCGAAACAGCGCGTTGAAGCAGCTCCATAAGCTACACGACCCTTCAGTATAATCCCGCGGGAGACCAAGCACGCACCTAACCAGCCCAGGTGGACTTCACGCCTCCATTCGAAGTACTTTTGGAAATTCGACATCTTCGTTGGCCAGAGTAGCTGTCGAAACCTTCCCGTTCCGAGGGCAACAGCGGTTTGAGAAGACTCTATCCCAGCAGCATACAAGTTTGCGATGTTGTGTCGTTTGGCGAAACCAAAGCAGGATGGCTGTGACATCACGCACCCGTTCTTCCTCTGCTCTATCATGTCGTCGACCAAGCCTGCGTCTCTCCAGCTCGAACCGCGCCCGCGATGGGGTTGAAGACCATTATGCTGCTTCAAGAGGGCATGGTCCACGGAGAGAAGGGCCTAAAGAAGACGGAGGAGGAGGAATGGTACTAGTATTGGCGAGTTGCTTCAGGGAATTGGTGCGTTATCCTAGCTCTTTCTGGCGCTCAGCACTCTTATTCCTCACTCCGGCTAAATGTTGTCTGACTCTCGCTCTCCGGATGAGCCCGCGCAACAACTTTAGCGCGACGAATATCAAGCGTGCAATGTCTCGCAAGACCCTTGGCCGCATACACACCATTTCCAGGCGAATCAACTCTACCTCCCGCAAAACGAGCCTATTGTCATACCCCAACAAACGTTTCTCCTTTGACCTCGCACCCCAAAACGTTCAGCAATAACATTCCTCTCTGTTAGCACCCTCCGCTATCCACGACCTATTCGCGACCAAGAAGCCCTCCTTCCCTTACTGCCGTCCAAAACGACACAGCCGTCTGCGCAAATACCACGTCTTTCACTTTGAAAACGGCCATCGGAAGCCGGAGATGGCACCGACCAAGATCATGCACACGAAAATCGTCGACAACAGCGCTGGTAGTGGTCTGTGGCATGTGCTGCTTTCAAATGGGGGGAGAGTTGTCGGTGGATGTCCTAGTCGTATTCATGGAGTTTTGTCATGCGTTCTGGTGAGTCTCACTTCGCTCTTGCCTTCTAACCGCTGACGAACGATGCACAGGCTCGTTTCTTTCATTCTTAACACAGTACTGTACAAGTATTCGACAGCGAGCATCATACGCATTCTCAAAAACATTATTTGCTTCCATTTCTACTTGAATCACAGCCGCAATCTACGAGCGCTCATTTGGAAGCGCTTATTCATCGTCTCAACACCTACACGCCAACTCTACAACGTCTCCGATCCTTCCCGTTACAACTATGACCAGCTTCTTCTAAATCCCACAACTACACATACTCGCCTCTCCGTTTGCGGTAGCTCTTATCTCGTGAATACCTTCGTCGAGCCCGTCTTCCTGCCTTCGCGCGTTTGTGCATAGTCGGCTACAATTCCTCGATGTGCGGTGCTTGTTCTCCAGCATATCCGGTATTGGACGGTCGCTGAGTCGTTCTGGTCAGCGCTTCAGAGGCCGACCTTGCCAATGCAAACGAAGAGACTTTGTCGCCCAGACAGCCCCGAGGCAGGCACGCTTGCTTGTCTTAGCTGACGTCCACGTAACCAAGTCTGCCCTCCCATCCTATCGGCTTGCGTCAAGCCTCCATACCGATCAACTTCAAGTTCAAGCACGGAAATTAGTGGCTTCATGACTATGAACGCCACAGTCGCCTCGAGGTTGGCTTGACAGTGCGGGCCTACTCGGCACCAATTCCAGGAATCGCTCCCATTCCACGCGGTGACTGTGTATCCTTCGAAAACCCACGCAGTGTCCACGAAACAGGCATTTAAACCTGCTGGTGCTCGTCAAGCGACCTGCCCGCCGCCATGTCCATCAACATATCCTTGCGGGACCTTGCGCTTGCTGAACTCAGAGCGCGCAGCACACGTAGGAAACAATTGTTACTTGCGGCTCTCTCTCTGACGCAATGTCCACTGTAGCCCTGGATCGCGCTGAAATCGAGGACGGGATGGACAACGTGCTTACCTACTTACGCAGATGCTTCCCTCCAACCCACCCACACTGGCTGAAGGTCCAAAGGTCTGTGCCCACATGCCAATGCTCGAGACCCGAATGACTTTCATGTCCACTAGACAAAACCTCTACGACGTAGAGAATGTCATCAGCCTGGAAGTCGCCCAGTGCAATGCGAACAGGTGGCTTGCCAATGAAGCTACCATCGTATATCTGTATGAGAAGAGGCTGCTAGACCTCGGGTTTGACGAGAACGATCTGGGCGCGAAGGGCAATAACAAGCGGCATAAAGAGGAGAACATCGGCGAGAGTGAAGGAGGGAGATAAGGCCCAGGCGAACCGGCAACGGCGCTCTGGATGCCCAAGCAAATGTTGATTAAAGGATTGCTCTTTCTGCGGGTAGACAACAACTATGTATTCACTTCTTTTACCAAAATACAACTCCGAGTGACAGTAAATAATTGGCGTCAGGCTCCAATCGACATCTTCCGTTCGTTGCTGGTTACCATCTGAGAGTTTAAAAATAGAGTCTTGTAGTATTATGCGCAGTTCATTGAGGACAAGCCACAGAAACGCAGACAGTAAATCTTCTATAATTTCTATTCTTAACTCAACACGTGGGATAACCCGGGCCACTTTTGCACACGACCTCTTCACCAACCTGAGCAGTTTCCTGCACATGGCTTCCATTCGAGTTCAAGTGCAAGTCCAACAAAGCAGTAAGAAACACACCCTGCCACTGTCTTCTGCCTCTCTGACCACTGCAGCGCTGGATCGGGCAGCGATCCGGACGGGCATGGACAATTTTATCGGTCTGTTCCACGAACTCGTGCCTCGCAACGACCCACGCTGGCGAGAGCTGCGCAGGTATGCGCCCACATCGCTCGGCCTTGCCCCTCCACCGCTGACCGCTGACCAGGCAAGATCTCTTCAACATCGACACCGTCATCAGACTGGGCATAGCTGATTGCCGCACTAATGGCTGGGTTGTTAATGCAGAAGGCATTGTGCAAGCTCTTAGGACCCGCTTACGAAATATCCGACTTATCGGTGTCGAAGACTCAGACATTGAGAGTGTGGGCTCTGACTCGGGAGATGGCGCCGACAACGGGCCTCAAGCTGCGAGCGAGACCGAGAGTGGGAAAGGCCGCTAACGAGGGAGGGGACGAGAGCCACACTGCTGACTCGGAGATGAACGTTCGCAAGGCAACGAATAGCCGTTTCATTCTGCTCTCATCCGCATATGCATGTCTTTCGAAATCGGTTTGATTGTGTAGTAAAACTGCTTCTTACAGAGTATTCATCGATATCTGCGAGATATGTACACTTGGAATCCTGCAGAATGTGAGCGACACGCTCGAGGTGAGCCGTAAAAACTAACGTATTCTGTTGTCGAAAAAAAGGAAGGCGGATCATGTTATGCTGAAGAGCTTCCTCAGGAAAGCGAGGGCACTATTATTTTCGATGTTAGCGAGCTTGAAGAGACGGCAACACAGTATCAGACGCACGACAATGGACCATTTTGTGGAGGGTGAAATGTGAATGCTAGTGTTGTGGGCTTCAAGTTAACCCGGGTTATCGCAATCGCAACTGAGAGAGATAGACATTAATGCAAATGCCGAGCACACTAAGAGAGAAAAGCCTCTCACCAAGAATACCATTGGCATAGTCGTCGGACGACACCGCAAATTGGTGTTACATATCCTTTCGACCTCGAATCCAGTTGAAGGGCTTCTCGCCGGCCGACACATTGAAGAAACATGTGGCCACATTTCCCAAGTCTCTTAGTTGACAAAAAAAAACCACGCGCCGGCTCGCCACCCATTTTCGGCCCACAAACAACAATTTCCAGCCCCCAAACGGCTCCAAAGGAACGACGCGTGACCGATATCTTCCCGAAGACATCTGGGACTGGAAGGGCATGTGCTTTGGCACAACGAGAGACAGGTCATCGAAACCGCGTCGCCGTCAAAACAGCCGTATGCCTGGTTGCAGCACAAGTGGTGACCTTGGCAAAAACGGTGTCGACGAAGACCTTCCCGTCTGTGAGAGTGCCTCAAAAGGATTGGTTGTCGTCAGAGGCTTGTGCCGCACCACGAGATACAGTTTATAGAGGGGTATGTGGTGTAGAAGCGGAGGCAAAACGCTGTCTTTGGGATGTGATGTCACGTGATTTCGAGGAATGATAAAGGTGCGATAAATAATAGTCTTGTCGGTTCGGAGGGGAGAAAGCGTGGAAGGATGGTGGGTATTCCGGCCTCAGAGGGTTGTTTGGAATGGATGTACGCCGCAAAGGCCCTTGTCGAAAGAAACCACAACGAAAAGGTGGCTGGCATTAGGTCAAATGCTTCGACGACGATGAGCTTCTTTTGGGTGTCTTTGTCGGATGCGACGCGGGGAGGTGGATGAGGGGATGGAAGGATGTTAAGCAGACTAAGAGGGGTTTTGCGGACGCGAGCCGGATAATGGCCTTGCTGCTTGTCGACATCGCATTCAGCGGGTAAGATTCCTCGCTTGGGGCATCCTACGCCTCCAAAGTAAGTACCACTGTTCATTGCTAGCCATAGGATAACACATACCAGTACGAGTTGCTCCCTTCTCTTGGTCCTTCATCGTTGGAGCCTTGACAGTATGCCCTGCCCAGCTGCTGCGCAAACATTAGCGAAGGCCATAGATATAGGCAAGAACACGCACTGGGGGCCTCGTTCCCGACAACGCTTGCCTGTACCCTCTCTTTGGCCTCTTCTTCGACCGGGACAGTGTCGCGGGTGGTCGTCGTAGTCCAATAACTGACTTCATGGGCATTTTGCAGCTCAAAACGAAGAAAGACTATCGGCCTCAAGAACACGTCAGTAAACGGGAGGAAGGACAAGTGGGCAAATTTGACATACCAGGAGGATCAAGCCCTCGTCGTTCTACGAATCATGCCCACCCGTCCCACTCGGAGTCAACGGCTGTCGGTTGTCTAGCGACGCGTGGCCTAAGCCAGAAATGACTATGGACCGGGACCAGAGCCAACAGCGTCGTTCGCCTGGCAATTTGCGAATCGTTGGCGGGACTTGAAACTACACAGTCAACCGCATCTTCGAATTCTACGGCGGCCTGCGAGTGCGTTGTCCGTTGAGCGTTGAAGTTGAACCGTGTTTTGAGCAAGGAGGCATGGAAGGGTGGTGAAAGTTGGGTGAAAGCCGCAAATGGTCTCGTGACTTTGGCATCTTCTCCCTGACGTCGACAATTCGACAACTCTGCTTGTAACCTGGTGCTCCCCAGCCCCCTCACGCAAACAGGACTGTAGAGGCGACAACGGGCTCACTCACGCCCGCGGCGATATAGTGACTCGGTGAGCGACCGCTGCCTGCCTGGTCCTCGCGATGCGGTCTTAGACTATTATGCTTATCCCGTGGGTCTGTCCTGTGCCGAGTCCCGACCTCCAAAATCTAAGATGCTGGATCCAGAGCCAGGAATTCCCGACATGCCCCGGTTCGAGTTCGACAACGGTATCGTACACATAACCGTTCAATTTCAACAACCCCGTGAGCAGCCTACAGTCTTCAAGCTCCCGCCCTGTCTAACCACACACTGCAGCACTGGATCGCGTGCTTTTAAATGAGGGCTTGCAGGACAGACTTGACACGTTCCCGCGCTGGCTCGAGGTAGAAAAGTGTGTCCAGACAACACACGGCTGACCACTTCTAATCCCCACCAGGCTCGGACTCAAGGATCTGGACACGGTCATAGGACTGGGAACGGCATACTGTTACCGCGACGTCGACCATAGGCTCGCCAGCGTGGCAGGTGTCCTCGAGGATATTACGAGGCTCGCCACCGTGGCAGGTGTCCTCGCGAATCTTTCTAAGACACTGCACGCCATCGAGAGAGGCGATATTGGTCCTGGACCGCCGGCGCGTGCACGCGCAGCAGAAGAATCCGACTGGGAGGAGGATTCAGAGTCCGAACTGCACGAGAGAGGCTCTGAAGACGAGTGCAAGCACAAGAACACAGGCGGGCCTCAGGCTCGAAACACAAGCCAGCCTGATTCAGAAGGCAACTCCAAAAATCAGAATGCTGGTCACAATACTAGTACTGAGGGCAAAGAGAGTATCTAACCAATAGAAGCTACGTTTGTAACACAGCCTATACCTGCATGGTGTCTTTTTCTCGGTCAAACACAATCCGATTTGTTCGGTGAAACCGTTGATTCAAACAGAAGATTGCAGCAAAATACCCGACTGTGTACACGAAGGCGGTTCATAAGCTGGTTGGCAAAAAAGGAGAAGATATATTGAGGGTATGTGGTTAGTTTGTACAACACCATACCGTCAATACTAGCCAGCCCGCTGCCAAAACTACCACGGGGAAAGGAGAACTTGAAGCCCATATTTCAGGCGACGGTGGAGTAGACCCTTATGCAAGAAAGAATCTGAGCTGGATATTGGTCCTGGCCCGCCAGCGCGTGCACGCTCAGCAGAGGAATCCAACTGGGAGGAACACGCGATGTGCTCTCAGCGCGCCGGTGAAGAGCCCGTGATGCAATGAGCGTGTCGACAATGGAGCAGGGAATTATTGGCCAATGGCTGCTGTGGCAAAGGGGAAGGTTTTTGATTGGAGTGGGGATTGAAGTGGTATCTCGATGGGCTGTTAAGTCGGTGCCGAGCGCGGGAGCCCAGCATATCGTAGCGTGCCTTGAAAAAACACGAGGAGTTCGAGCAGCAGGGCTACGAGGGAGACCGTGCCGTGTCGAGATAGACAGACGGCGAGAATCTTCCGAGGTCGACACCCTCCGAGCCACATACCAGAGAACTCCTTGAAACACGTCTTGAGAAGTAACATTAGATTCCTCTTCCGCTCTTCAAGTTGTTGGTCGGATGACAGCAAATTAGAAGTGGTAGTCCTGAAGAGGTTTCACTCGTTGTACTCCGAGGCTGGCTGGATGACGCACCGAGAAAGACTCTATTTGCTTTTCCTTCATCGAAGCCTTGTACGAATCAGAAATCGAGACGATAGACTAGACATATCAGCTCCTCGTCACGACAGAGCACACACACGTCCTTACCTGCAGAAAGCGGACTAACAGCGGCTGGCATCGTCCATCGAAGTAACGCTTGTCGTTGTGCTCTTCTTCATCGTGGAACTTGTGAACAAGTGCGGCTGGACTGAATCGTGTCCAGGTCGGGTAGGAGGGTAAGGGAAGATGGTCGGGTGGTTCCGCGAGGCTTTCGAGGGAGGTGGAAGGCCGTGGCAAGTCGAAAAGGCGAAAGTGGAAGCTGATGATGGTGGTTGACTGCAAACCATATCTTGCTCCAAACGCGGATGTCACGACCCGCTATTCCTGCAGAACTCATCGAAGTCGTACTCGAAAACCTCTGGGACGAGCGGAGTGCTCTCCTCTCGTGCTCCCTCGTCAATGGGAACTTCTATCTCGCCGCGCAACGCCATATATTTCGGTCTATGTGGCTAAAACGAAGAAAAGACAAACCCGACCTGTCCAGTGCAGTTGCGAAGGAGGCATGCAAGTCGACATTGCTTCCCATAGCTAGCATCTCGACTATGGCGGAAATCATGGCCGTTTCGCCCCACCTAGGGCGACATATTCGCGAACTCACTTTCGACCTTCCTGTCAGGGAAGATGAAGATGGCGAGCTTACTCGCATTCTGGGCACTGTTTCTGGCGTCAAACGCGTCGCCATTGCGGGGGTGTCACTCGACTGGGACTCAATGTCGATGTACCAAGAGTCGGCAATCCTCAAGCTCATCACCGCCAGTCCATCGTTGGACCGACTCCATTTTCTCGGTATTGTCCAACTTCCGCGAGCCGTGCTCGCTGCTGCCATGCGTTTTGCGCGTGTCCTGTCATTCTCAGGCTCGCTACAAGACCGGGATGGCGATGATGACGAACCGGACGTCGAGCCGCGCTTACAAACACTCATCCTCCAAGACTGCAGTCTCGAGATACTTCAAGCGCTACCAAAAGCTGCCGCACTCAAAAAACTCGCATGCTTGCCGTATAGCCCAACTAGAACGAGCCACAACCCTTCCGCTTTCCTCCCATATGTCCCATCTACCGTAACGACCTTGGACATCATCATAGGCTCAACGCAAGCCTCGCCCTGTCTCTCCAACCTACCCTCCTTGCGCTCGGTCACCCTCCGCTACGATCGCGGCACCCGCCGCTACCTGCCCATGCGCTTTGCCGAAACCCTTGCCCAACTCCCAGCAGTGTCGCTCACTGTTATCTTTTTCACGCCCATTTCGACACCAATCGATATCTGGCACGATGCCGCCCCCCTTCCCGTCCGCGGCCTCGACGCCTGCCTGGTAGAGGACATCCACTTCCGTCTTCACGCACAAGTCTCGCCGAAGCTGCTGAAGAGCGGGAACAAACTCACTCGTTTGCGCGAGTCGTTCCGCGCCGCGTTGGAGGCGGCACTACCGAAATTCAGGCTCCAGTTCTCCTTTGTTATGGGAGACTGGTCGTACGCCGCCGAGTTGCCTTAACGAACAAAAGTGACTCCAACGCGTTGATTTATTATGCCTAAAAACCGTTTCTCCGGGAAGCAACTTGAAAATAATGGGTTAAGGGCTACTATTGCCTGATTTGCGGCGTCTATCGGGACCTAACCTGGACTGCTAACAGGATCAGTACTAACTCGGACGGTGGAGAGCAGAGTGGATGGCTAATCTCCAGATCGTCCAAGTTTCTCGTCATTGGTGTACTAGTACAATCGTGAACTACTTAATACTAGTATGTATCTCTTAGTAATCAACTGCCCGGGGGTCGCTCAAAAATCAAGCATCCTTTACGTCCTCACTTTTGTCCTTACCCTCAATGCCTTGTCCACTACTTTCACTCTCGCCAATGTCCTTTGCCTTGTTCTTGGCCTTGCCAGTGCCGTCTGAGGGCATCTCATAGTTAAACCTGAGGTCCTCTGCTAGCCTGTCCTCGTACAGCTGGATGATGATTCTTTCATTGGTAAGCATAAGTCTCTCGTTGCACCTTGCCACTTCCTAGGGTTGAAACGCATGAAATAGAAGCACTGGTGAAAGTGGAAACCCAACTAACACACAACACAACTAGATCAAAACGAGTGAGGTCGGGGCTCCATGCAAAGTATATGCATGCTGCAACCCATAAGAAGAAGAGGGTGATGACAAAGCTGAGTGGGAACCATAGGTAGAGAGGTGGTAGTGATGATGTAGGGGATGTGGGTATGGGTGTGGGTGTAGATGTGGACATAGGTGTGAGTGTAGATGTGGGTGTGGGTGTGGGTGTGGGTGTGGGTGTGGGTGTGGGTGTGGGTGTGGGTGTGGGTGTGGGTGTGGGTGTGGGTGTGGATGTGGATGTAGGTAGATGAGACCTGCTCACTAGATGATAAGAGGAAAGACCAGCTCCCTCTAACCACCAACCCAATATGCAACTAAACCCCAAACCAAAAAAACCTCCCAACATGGCAATAGTCACAGTCACAGTGATGTTGAATATGTTTGTTGTTGTTGATATATTATTTGTTGTTTTTATTGTTGTGGTGGAAAGCACTGAAGCCAGCATCAAGAGCATCAAACAATATGCCATATATAGCAATAATGTTCCAGATATGGGTCGCTCCATCAGGTGAGGGCGACGTTCCATATTAGGCAAGACGTCTGAGCATAGTCACAGTCTTCCTGGGGCTCAACCAACTCCTATAGCATAGGTCGTCTCGGACCGACGGCGTTGACGTTTGACAGCTGACGTTGGACGTTGACAGATGTTCCTTAATAGATACCCCGCAGCCGCGATCGTGATTCGTAATCTCGCTGAGTCAGATCAAAAGCAGCGCAAAGAGGTGAGGAAACCCGGAGGGGAATTCACTGGCTAACTAGTACATCTGAGCTAATTATATAGGTTTTTCTGTCCCTCGCGACCGTCTCAGCCCCGCGCTACCGTGGCGCAGCCATAGCCTCCGTCTCCCTCATAGCCTTGCCTGTCGCTACCACAGCCCGGGCCGTTGCAACCACAGCCGCCACCTGTTTCCACCACAGCCTGCCGTTCCCATGGCTGGTGACCAAGTGCGTTGGTCAGCATGCGACACTCCTTGCGACCTTGCTGTGCGTGTTTCACCATGCGTTTCAGTGGTTGTTTCACCCACCCAGCGCGTCACCCGCTCTTCATCTCCCCTTTTGAAAAATCCTGAGTGTCCCCACTCAGCGTCACAATACTTGCATATTTCCTGAGCAGATTTGAGTACTGCACTGACTATTCCAGTTCTTCCTGGCATTTCAGAGTTTTGAAGACTTCAGCTATAATATCCATCATATGTTGCCAGATTAGCTCCCCATGATTGGAGTCTGATTGCTTGAAATTTTCTTCATTTCCCATCTCCCTTCTTTCTTTCATCACTCATTTCCTCTTTCAAACCCCATCAATCAGCCTGATTCTTTAGACCCTTTCTTTCTCCTCCCTCGTCTAGTCCTCTTTGGCTTCTTTCCAGAATTTTCAGTTTCCAGAGCTTGTTTCTCAGCATGTTCTATTTCCTGTCTTCGCTTCTTGGTTAACAATGGAACATATTTCAGGCTTGATGCTAATTTATCATCAATCCGGAAGCCCGTATCCCATTCATCCTGTTGAAAGTTCATCAGCCATGTATTTTGAACACCATCTCCTGGTTGTTCAAGCTGTCCTATCTTGTCTTCAATCCAGCCAATCTTCTCCTGTATCCTGCTGAACAGTTCTGCAGATTGGGTGTGAAATGAATTTAAGTCACTCTGGAGTTTCCCAAATGCATCACTGATGTCATCTCTAGTTGAGTACTCCAGTTCTTTTACCAGCCCTTCAAGACCATATTTGATATTGCCTGAGTGCACCATTTGTTGCTCCACCTGGTCTTGTAGACTTTGAAGTGTAGTACCATCATATTTCTGGACTTCTTGAATCCTATCCATGGCCTCCTTCATATCATCAACTTTATCTCTGAGATGAGAGTGAGAGTCCTCAAGATGTCCTAATGCCTGATTAATATTGTCCTCCATTTGGATTGGTATATTCTCCATTTCCATCTTTGGAATTTTGCTGGAGTTCATGTCTGGTAGCACAAAATAGAGACCATCTTCTGGGCTTCCCAATTGCCAGTGCTGGTTCAAGTCTTCTTTTCCCTGTGCAAAAACAGTCATCCCCTTCAACTCCTGTTCAGGCTTTATATGTTGTGGTGCTGATGGTATTGGCCTCCAAATAGCTCTAGGCAGTTTATATCTAGCTGGTGGTAGTCCTGGATGATCTACCACATGGTCCACTTGTGGCATTTTTAACTCTGGGACTAGTGATGATGGTTTGCCTGAACTCCATTTTACTCTAGACTGATCTGTGAACTTCTCTGGATGCCTGTCTTGATCCAGTCTTGTTACTTGCTTCATGATCTGGGGCCTCATGGCATCATGTCTTGATGGAGCTTCATCAATATCCTTTCTGGCTTCTACCTTGAGCTTCTCTGAATCATCATCCTCCTTAGGGAATGGCACGGGTATACCCACGGGTATCCAAGGGCCTACCCGTACCCTTACCCGCACAGCCACAGTACCCATACCCGCGGGTACGGGTATGGGTTTACCCACGGGTGGCGCAGGGAGTCAAGAAGGCATGGTGCCGAGACTGTGATTAGTGTCCAAAGTACGCCAGAAATGTGCGGTAAAAATGGAATACAAATCCAGACTTGAACGGAGAACCTCTTGACCACCAACCACGAGGGAAACCAGCTGAGTCAGGAAGCGACGGGTAAGGGCTGCACTGACCCGTACCCGTACCCGCACGGGTAAACCCGCGTACCCGCGCGGGTATGGCCTACCCGTGCCATTGCCTAAGATTCCTCCTGCATAGATAATGTGCCCATTGCAGCAATCTTTTCAGCTGTCTTCACCAGTTCAGATAATGCAATATTATCTTCATGACGTCTCTGGTTTGCGGGAGGCTGTAGACCCTGCTCTTCCAGAATAAATTGTCCTATCTGCCTATCAAGCACTGCCTGATTCAGTTGTCTGGCTGATCTAGTATCCAGTGTTGCCAAGTAATGCTTGCATGCTTCCCTATTTGTCAAGATAGATGGTTCCTGTTGCAGTTTTTCTACCAGCACCATGAACTGTCTTCCAAACCTGACTAGACGTTCTTCTTCCTCAAGCCTAAGCCCTTCATGTTCTGCACATAGCTCCTCTAGTCCATGCAATGTTCCAATTTCTCTTGCTTTCAACTCTGGATAGAGGGAATGAATTTCTGCCAAAAATGCAGCATATGAATAGGCAGCCCCATATGTCCTGAGTCCTCTCCAGAATAACCTTTTCCTGGTAGGCAGATAACTTGTCAGAAGCTCCTTTTTCTTCTGCTTGTCCTTGATGCTGCCGAGTTCGAAAATACTGACCATATTGTCAAGGAAATCCACCAGATCATCAATCAAATCAGTGGTAAACTTTGGGCATTGGTCCTCCCATGGTCTTGGAATCCGAAAGGGAGCTACAGCTGAAGAAGCTGGTACTGGAACTGCTGCACTAGATCCAGAGTAGAGTTGTCCTTGTTTCAGACGAGGTATCTGTGAGCTTCCAGTCATAAACACAGAGATCATGTTGTCCTTCATGTTGTCCTGCATATTATCTTCCATCTGATTGTCCATCAATGGAAAGTTGACCATAGGTAAGGGTTGCTGATCATGTCCAGCATTGATGACAGCAATGTTGTTACTGTGGGTGACCCTGCCAGCAGAGTCACATGGTATAAGGTGTGGTGGTCCCAACTCTAGCTTGTCATTGTCTTCCTTCTTGTGGATGAGCCCCTCGCGGTGGGCTCCAGATGAAACGCATGAAATAGAAGCACTGGTGAAAGTGGAAACCCAACTAACACACAACACAACTAGATCAAAACGAGTGAGGTCGGGGCTCCATGCAAAGTATATGCATGCTGCAACCCATAAGAAGAAGAGGGTGATGACAAAGCTGAGTGGGAACCATAGGTAGAGAGGTGGTAGTGATGATGTAGGGGATGTGGGTATGGGTGTGGGTGTAGATGTGGACATAGGTGTGAGTGTAGATGTGGGTGTGGGTGTGGGTGTGGGTGTGGATGTGGATGTAGGTAGATGAGACCTGCTCACTAGATGATAAGAGGAAAGACCAGCTCCCTCTAACCACCAACCCAATATGCAACTAAACCCCAAACCAAAACAACCTCCCAACATGGCAATAGTCACAGTCACAGTGATGTTGAATATGTTTGTTGTTGTTGATATATTATTTGTTGTTTTTATTGTTGTGGTGGAAAGCACTGAAGCCAGCATCAAGAGCATCAAACAATATGCCATATATAGTAATAATGTTCCAGATATGGGTCGCTCCATCAGGTGAGGGCGACGTTCCATATTAGGCAAGACGCGTCTGAGCATAGTCACAGTCTTCCTGGGGCTCAACCAACTCCTATAGCATAGGTCGTCTCGGACCGACGGCGTTGACGTTTGACAGCTGACGTTGGACGTTGACAGATGTTC